TAACAATGCTGTTATTTCATCAAGTTGCTACAAGGTTGTCACTCACAACTTGTCAACAAGATGTGTTCGCAACAGGCTTGTAGCAAGCTTGTCAACAAGTTGTAACAATGCTGTTATTTTATCAAGTTGCTACAAGGTAATTGTCACTCACAACTTGTCGACAAGATATGTTCGCAACAGGCTTGTAGCAAGCTTGTCAACAAGTTGTAACAATGCTGTTATTTCATCAAGTTGCTACAAGGTTGTCACTCGCAACTTGTCAACAAGATATGTTCGCAACAGGCTTGTAGCAAGCTTGTCAACAAGTTGTAACAATGCTGTTATTTTATCAAGTTGCTACAAGGTTGTCACTCGCAACTTGTAACAAGTCTGTTGAGCTCAACAACCTTGTAGTAACTTGTCAACAAGCCGTTGACAACTTGTCAACAAGCTGGGAACAAGCAGTGCGAACAAATCCTGTTGACAAGTTGTTGGAAAAGCATTGCTACAAGTCTGCTGCAGGTTTGTTACAACTTGTGCGTTTTTACGTGCGTAGCAATGTTTCGGTCGAACGAGAGAGAGAGTTGAGAAGCGAGAGTGTATGAGATTTTTCTCGACTCTCATGCCCCGGTCAAACGAGCAAAAACTCTCATCAAAATTTGACCGGACTTTTAGTAAAGGCGGTTACAGCAAGCAATTTTTTGCGATGATGCATTTTCATGTGGTAAGTTTTATTTGCAAACGCACGTATGTAGGTACGCACAAACCACCGCGTTTTGAATAGAAGATCTCAGGGGGAAAGTGCTCTTCTGAAGATTGTTGAACCACTGTAAGGCCAAATTTCTGTGAAATCCCAAAATTGCGGGCGGTATGGCACAACCTCCTGTGTCATGGTTCGTCTGCTACGCCTTCCTTGCTTTTAACAGTTTTCAAATTTCCCAATTTAGTACAAACGGCGGCTACTACCTTAAATTTCTGGCCAACACCCTGCCCAACTTTTTGTTTGAAATGTCGTTCTTACCAATTTGGACAGTTCCGTGAGGCAAACTTTGATTTCCTCGCAAACTTTACTTCTTTCCACTTGGAGTCTCGATGCAAAATTCCAGTCATGGATCCAATCTATACCTGAACCTATTAACTCTTGTGGAAGCTAAAAATTTGATATCATTTTGTTTATATGTACGAGCGTAACTCTGACTGACCGACCTGCCAACCAACCAACCAAAGGACCAACCAAACTACCCGACCAGCCGACTGACCAACTGACTGACCAACCTATAAACTGATCGACCTACCGACTAACCTACCGACTGGACACACCAACTGACCTACCAATTGACCTACTGACTGGACCAACCAACTAACCTACCAATTGACCTACCGACTGACCAACCGACTGACCAACCAACTGACCTACCAACTGACCTACCGACTGACCAACCAACTGACCTACCAACTGACCTACCGACTGACCAACCAACTGACCTACCAATTGACCTACCGACTGACCAACCAACTGACCTACCAATTGACCTACCGACTGACCAACCAAATGACCTACCAATTGTCAATCCTACAGACTGACCAACCAACTGACCTACCAATTGACCTACCGACTGACCAACCAATTGACCTACCGACTGACCAACCAACTGACCTACCAATTGACCTACCGACTGGACCAACCAACTGACCTACCGACTGACCAACCAACTGACCTACCAATTGTCAATCCTACCGACTGACCAACCAACTGACCTACCAATTGACCTACCGACTGGACCAACCAATTGACCTACCGACCAACCAACTGACCTACCAACTGACCTACCAATTGTCAATCCTACCGACTGACCAACCAACTGACCTACCAATTGACCTACCGACTGACCAACCAATTGACCTACCGACCAACCAACTGACCTACCAACTGACCTACCGACTGGACCAACCAACTGACCTACCAATTGACCTACCGACTGGACCAACCAACTGACCTACCGACTGACCAACCAACTGACCTACCGACTGACTGACCAACCAACTGACCAACCAGGTAATCGACAAACAAAGCAACCGGTCAACCACCCATCTTATAAATACCTCTTCAATCTTCCCTAGTTGTGACAAGATAGGAATTTTCTTCGCCAGTACTTGAAAGAGGGTAGCTCTGATGGCACAGTAATTGTCACCACGGATTACACGCAACTTGTTGAGGCCAAGTTGGTGTGGGATTTGGAAGTAACCCTGAACAAGGAAAACATATTCATAAGGTAAGATAAAGTTGGCTAAGTAGCTAGTGTATGCATATGCCTCAATTCCAGCAATATACAGCTGTCTGATTGTAATTTCGTCTCAGCTGTTTGCAAGAGAGATTCCTGTTTGGCTCTATGAAAACACCACGGGTTCCCTCAGGTTGCTTCTAGCCGCCAACACTCATTCACTCTTATTCGCATTTGATTACAGTTAATAAAATATACATGGTTTGGAAGCTCACTTACAGCACAATACAACTTATTATCTATATTATTGTTCTCGTTTATGCAAAAAGTGGTTCCGTTCTTGTCACGTGTGTATTGTATTTTACCGTAAACAACCAATAGCTGAACGTTCGAACTCAGCTGTTCATCCGTGACTGAAACAATTGGTCAATCTACACATTACTATTGGTTGATTTCGAAAAAATTCGATACACACGTGACGAGATAGGACCCATATTTTTGCATAAACCTACACAAACATAGATAATGAGCTGTATTGTGTTTTCACCGAGTCACCAGACCATGCATTTTATTAACTGTGATTTGACCGAGGCTTTATAGAGAGAACAGTTTAGAACCGATAAAGCCATCCACTATGATAATATCTTACCTCTCTAACCGCTTGAGCAGTTGCCGTTTCACTTTTCCATTCTTTCTTTGCATACTGCATCACATTAAATACTTCACCAATACTTTCAATCCGTTTTTCCTCCATAGATCTTTCAGTCGTCCCGCCACTGGCATTTCCATGTTGCCCTAAGGACGCCTCGTTTCGTGGCATTGTTGGTTTATCTTAAAGAGTAACAACACAAATTTAAGTAATATTTGTAATTCACATTAGTTGATAATCAGATGATCAAACTGATTATCATTTTCGCATTTGTAATACAAAATGACTGAAAAACGGCAAACTTCGCAAGGCTATATTATCCGCATTTTACAACATTTCGCAACGAAACTTCGGAATATTACTAATTTTGTGATGCTCTTTCAAGCTGTGATGAAATTTTTGTCCAGACTTGTCTAGATCAAAATTTCACTCAAAAGGGGAAAGGTTTATTCACAGAAAGGAAATTGTGACGGTGAAGAAGCCTTGTGTATCGGATACAAAATCCTGATAATTTACACACAGACTTTGAATAAGAAAATCTTCAAAACCTTGTTTATCAATTTCCATGTCATCTTTTGTATACACATCACTTTCTATGGCATCAGCGATCTCCTTGACGACAGGTTGTTCCTTATCAACGTCCATTGGGGTATTTCCCTTGGCTTTATCATCATCATACTCTCGACACATATCATAATCATTATCTACGTTCATTTTATACGAATAGTCATCATCCAATGAACGCTGGATTCCTGCCTTCACTGTCGTCTCTGAAAATTAAATACAAACTTGAGTGAGTAAAAGTTTTTTTAATAATATAATACACAATTTTGTGAATAAAGCATGCAAGGCACTGTAGGTATCTTAGCCACTCATTATACATACCAGATTTCTTCTCTGAGCTCGCTTTACTTCTTGTCAGGTGAACCACAATCTCGCTCCTCTTGTCACCACGGCGTTTGCCTTCGTCCTTTCTCGCCTCGTATTTTCCATGTTTACTTGAGCTTTGCTCAGTCCTTTTTTTGACTATAACCTCATAATTACCATCATCATTATTACCATCATCATTATTACCAACACCATCATCACCATTGTTTTTAAAAGCACCACACTTTTTACATGTACTACCAGTACAATTCTTAGAACAGTCGCTCCTTTTTGCTGATTTTGAGGCGCTGCTTTTAGTCTTTCCCTTCCCCCCTTCACCCTTATCACGACCTATCCCAGCCAGCTGCCCTGTTTTGGTCTTGGACTTTAACGGGTCATCATCTGTTAGAGTCTGTTTAGACTTCACAACAGAACTACCAGACTTTGCTACACTACCATTTTTGAGATCTTTATCAGTTTTTCCACTTTTGCTATTATCCAGTTCTTCTAGTTCTAGCATCACAGGGCTATGATCGCCTTTCTTCGAGGTTCCTTTGGACCGAGTTCTTGAAGAGACCTGTTTAGAAGTGCTGGCACCTTTGGACTCACTCTTGCTAGAAGCTTCGGCGTCACAATCCGAAGTGCCACTACCACCTCCGCACAGACTGGACATTATCAAACTGAAGAGAGAACGACCGTTTGGGTTTTGGGAGGAAGTAGGAGATGTTTTCCTCTTGTTTTCAGGATTTTCTTCGGAAGACGGGTGACCAGTTGTGTTTGAGCCTTGACCCTCCAGCTGAAAGATACAGTAAAAAAAACACAACACGCTACTCAGTACTCACACAAGATATTAAACATAAACGTAAGGTATTTTGAAGACGTTATCAAATTTCAAACCAAATCTCTTTTTTAGTTTTTCGTTTGTAAATGCCAAAACTTGATTCATTTGCAACAAACTCGTGTAAGTGTGGTTCGATTTTAGTACAATACCGATTTTTCTTCGAGTTTATTCCGTTTTCTCTGGGGGGTTTTCCGGTTTTCCAGTTTTTCTCCAAAAGTAACATTGAGTATTTCGGTTTTCAAAAAACATCAGTTTTTTCGGCTTACCGAAAAACCACCTCACCCTACTACAACTACCAGAAAAATACAAGGGATCTGCCCTTGATCATAAAGTTAGTAACGACTTCCTGTGAAGCCCTTCTCAATGAAGGGCCTTAGCTCGAAACATTGAAGTTCTCCTTGTATTTTTCAGGTAGTTGTACCCCTATCAATCCAAAGCTTTGTAAATTATAAAATTGGTTGAATTTGGTTTATCCATAATCGGGAAACAATCTAGTGCTTTCCTTGACAAGATAAACACTCACATCTAAACTCTCGTTGGATTGCTGTGACGAGCCTAGCAGTTGAACATTCTCTGGACGACCGCGCCCTTTGACAATCTTCCTTTGCTCAGATTTCTTTTTGCGTTTGGCCCGTCGACGGCGACAGCAGCTATAACCAATGAACACGATCACTAACGAGCAGAATGCTAGGATTATGATTAGGCTTATATCTGTTCCACTCCACTTGTGTGACTTGTTTAAACCTGAAAAATATACACATTGGCAAAATATGAACATGAGATGCAAACATGAACAGCAAATTTCAAAAATAATAATTTCCTTTGTAAGCCAAATATAAAATTCCCTACACATGTAGATTTCAGAGAACGGTTACTGTAGGTACGGTATGCCAAACTCCGGCGTACTTTATATCCTTTACATAGGGTACGCCAAAAACAGGCATACTATATAGCCACAAACCATGGCTATAAAGCAGGCCTCGAATTTCCCTGAAATCAATCGACGGCAATGGCGTTAAAAATTGCCGTAGAACGTAACAGCTGTCTACGGCAATTTTGGCAGTTTCCACGGCATTTTTCAAATTACTGTAGTAAAACTTTAATTTTATTGTTACTTTGGATTTTTGACAAGCTAGAAACATGTATACATATTTCTTTTGTCGAAGAAAACTGAGACTAAAATAGTGATGTACGCATGATTTGATCAACATCTGAATTCAAGTAACAAAGTAGTAATGCACAGTGAATTAAGTGTAAAAATTGCACTATACGGCACAAAATTGCCGTCGTTGCCGCAATAATCCACGGCATTTTGATCCACGCTTTCGTAAACAATAAGTTAATTATTATGGCATTCCAGTATACAAGATGACAAAAATTTCCTACAAAACGAAAGAAGATAATTTTCCTGTGAAGATATTTTGTTAAAATCTTTTGTCTATTCGTGCATTTATCTGTGCATCTTCTCTCATCCAAGTACTAATACCTTAAAGATGAAAAACAGTAGAAATCCAGCTGTCACAAATGTGCACTCATACCCGTTTCCGTCTGTACTGTGTTTAATACGGTACTGTCAGTACATATATTGATATAGTGTTATATTTCAAATGTCAGTAAATGGACGTTAAATATAATTAACTCACAATAAACAGTATTACATGAAAGAAGCGTCCCTACCAGATTTTTTCATGGCCAAAAATCTGTCCCAGTTCGCAAACTTTGCAGAGAATGGCTCATTCTTTATGCGATAATTCAAAGAAAAAGTAATATAAACACGACGCCATTTTGAATATTTTGGGGTCCAGTCTCTTTCCTGAAAACGAGAGCGTGGAGTGCACGCAAAGATCACGCGTGGAGTGTAATGGACCGTTTCTCGTTTTGCACTGCCATAATTGTTAATTAGTCATTAATTGGCTTTTTTTTAAATTATATTCATCATTACCATTGCCAGCACGGCATGATGAGGTAGTTCATTAATTACAATTCTTGCATTTGTTCGCGTATCGGGAGGGAGGGGCGATCCTACTGGCATGAATACCTAGACCTGATCCTCTTCTTCAAAATCACACACGGTTTGACAGAAACGTCCGCTCTTCCTGACATTCAAGTTATGCACAGAACGGACTCGACCATCATCCAGTTATAACCGACGCTGAATATCTTGTCCGCAAATGTAAAACCACTACCTACCAACAGTCGTACACAATGTGTCTTCAATTTCTTTAGATCAGCCTTACTGGAATATTATCATAAATCACTAGAAGTTAATTATAATCCTGATTATCTTCGAACATTTAAAACTATATGCCCGAAATGTAATTACTCTGTACAAAGTATCCGATATCCTGTTATTATATCTTATTGATATCCTGTTATTATATCCTGTTATCAGTCCGATTATCTTGTTATTTGTTCCCCATTATTGGAGAACTAATCTCTGTACATGTGTGGTAATTCCAGCCATGTAATCTATTGTGTAACTAATTTTGTGTAATAGTTTGTGTTAAATGGCAAAATCTGTAAAATGATAATAAAATTAGAAATTAATATAGTTTGTTCGTATGTTTGTTAATCTGACCAGTTGAATGTCTGTTGTTTGCTTGCTTGCCTAATTGGGCCAAATTTTATGCTGGCAAAGTTAATAAATGTAGTTGCTTCATAGACAATCACAGATCCCTTCCATTTTCTATACAAGGTCGCCATATCTCAGAACTCGCACTTGAACTGCCCCCGTTGCCCAAACAGTGCGGGAGGCAGCGCGCGGGGGCAGTACTAAGTAGTTTGCTTTTTTGTTACAAGAATTACACTTGAAATTGAGAAGTGTTTTTTCACAAGCAATTCATCTCAAATTTGAATCTCAAATTCCTCCTAGAAACATTCACCAAGGTTAATTCCACTTTCGTGAAAAAAAAGTAAAAAAGAAAGCCTTTCTAAATAATTGACCAACTGTCAGTGTTGATTTACCGAATGCATTTTAGTCTTTAGCGTCATGGAACGATTAAAAATGTTCCAAATTCCAATCGATGCCAAACTTTGTCGGACTATATTGGCTACAAGTAACTGACGATCATTGCCGCCCACAAGGCTCAGATTCAGAAGTGAGTGCCCCCGCTTCTTCGCGGCAGTTTCCAGCCCAAGAAAATTGCGGAACATTTCAATTTTTTTACGTTATGGGAGAATCGGCTTAAGGAATCAATATATTATGCATACTTCCTTATTTGTCCCCAAGCAAAGTGGAAAAATCTAATACGAGGGCGAAAGGCAGCTGGGAATCGCTAAAAAGTTAATTACTGATTAGTTTTTCAAGAATCAAGGTCGCGTATTTGGCGATGAAAGAGTGTTCAAGACCTGAACTCGTTTTGGCGTTCCTCTCAAAATTACTTTGTTTTAGCTTTATTTTGTAGTTTACACAGTTAGGAACCTTTTTAATTTAAAAGATGTATCTGCGGTTGCAGAAACGCAAATTATAAAATAACATGTATATAATGCGTGCTCTGATTGGTCGAAACTATCGTGTTGTTGTTATTTTATAAAACAATTACTTTATGGTTTCCCTGTTAGAATGGTCTGATCCAAACACTTGGGAATGTTGCTCGAGTTAAGAAAAGCGCGCAAAACTATCACTCGCCTTCGGCTCGTGTTTCGCGCGCTTCGCAACATTCCCGCGTGTTTGGATCAGGCCATCCAAACACGGAAACCATAAAGTAATTGTATAATAATAGCTAAATATTATCAATTTAAATACAATTATCATTGATGCTGTAAAATTGACGCCATATTTTATACACAGCAATTTTGGCAAAACGTACTGAACTTCAGATATCATTTTCTCTTTGGCGTACCATTTAAAATCTCTTCACTTTAGCATGAGAAAGCATTTTGCCGCTTGCATAGAAACGTATCAAAAGTTAAAAATTAATTGGAATATATTAATTGAAGTATATTAATTAGATTTAAGAGCGTGATACGTAATGACTAATGTACAAATTAAAGATTCTCCTCTTAAACACTTTTCAACAACATTTGCGCAATTTTCAAGAAAAAGGCAAGTTCTGGATCAGAGAAATATTAAACACTAGCTTGAATACTATATCGAATAAATCACTCATCTTTTTGAACGAAATGATTTAATGACGTTACGTGGGAGCCACTTGAACTTACTTAAAATAGTCCGATATCATTGTTCTTTCACTTTCCCCATGGTTTCTTAGTATAGTAACGCTGCAGACCACTGGACCACTTAGTAGAGAACCAGGGCCTTTTTTAACATATAAGCTGGGGGGCATTTGCCCCCCAGTCCCCCCTTGTGCCCCCCCACGAAATCACATTTTGCCCCCCCAGGAAAAGTCCCTTTTTCCTAAATTTATACCAACAAAACAGCGAAGAATAACAAATAAATAAACGGAAAGTAAGTTTAAGGCTTTATCCTTTGTCCTTGTTTAATTAACAAAATCGATCTAAATTGTTACGTTTTTCTACCACTAAGTAATGATAAATTATTGTTAATAATTTTTTATTTTTTGGTTGCTCAGAATGCAGGAAAGAGCATTTCCAGGTTTCAAATTTGAAAAATTTTCTGGAGATTATGCCCCCACACAAGTGGCCTTCGGCCACTGGTATACCCCTCTAATAAGTATAATGATAAATTACGGTTAATATTCTTTTTTACTTTTTGTGCATTTTTTCCTTCTTTTATTTCAAATACAAGTATAGTTAGCATAAATTTTAGAGCAAATTTGGATGCTCAGAATGCAGGAAATGGCATTTCCGTGTTTCAAATTTCAAAAATTTTCCGGGGAGTACACCCCCACACACGTGACCATTGGGATCCTCCTCTAATAAGTAATGATAAATTATGGAAAAGGCCGGGTAAAACTGTTAGATATATAGATATAGATTAATATTTTTTTTTACTTTTTGTGGGTTGTTTCCTTCTTTTATTTCAAATACAAGTATAGTTAGTATACATTTTGGAGCGCATTTGGATGCTCAGAATGCAGGAATTGGCATTTCCGTGCTTCAAATTTCAAAAATTTTCTGGGGGAGTACACCCCCCCTCATTCATGCGTGCATGGTATGTTCGGCGCACACGTGGCCTTCAGCCATTGCTATCTCCCTGTAATATATTATCTCACAGAAAGGTCCCTTTTCAAAAAATGCCCCCCCACGGGAAAATCCTTAAAAAAGGCCCTGTAGAGAACAGGTTAGAATTGATACAGTTATTCCTCCTGTAATACAGGGTGTATAAAAAAAAGGAGACATAGAAATTATGAAAATTAACCTTATTGTTATAATTTGAATGCTATAAGCACTACGTTGAACACAAGAGTGAGAAAACACAATGGACCTTTCCCCTTATAACTAAAATTTCGATCTAGACAAAAATTTCATCACAGCTTGAAAGAGCATCACAAAATTAGTAATATTCCAAAGTTTTGTTCCAAAATGTTGTAAAATGCGGATAATATAGCGTTGCGAAGTTTGCCGTTTTTCAGTAATTTTGTATTACGCACGCGAAATTGATAATCAGTTTGATCATCTGATTACCAATTTCCCACTTGTAATGCAAAATGACTGAAAAACGGCAAACTTCGCAAGGCTATATTATCCGCATTTTACAACATTTCGCAACGAAACTTTGGAATATTACTAATTTTGTGATGCTCTTTCAAGCTGTGATGACATATTTGTCTAGACCTGCCTAGATCAAAATTTTGGTTAAAAGGGGAAAGGTCTATTGAATTGAATTTTTAATTACCAGGAGCAAAATATATTGCGCTTAAAAAATTTTGAAGTTGAAAATTTTCAACTTTTGACAATGATATTTTCGGAAAATGTTCTGTCCGTAGAAATTTTTCTTCAGCATGATTAGTATAACTCATTTTGGCAGCATTTTGCATCGTAGCGTTTGTGTAAGGAAGCAAAAACTTTTAAAATCTTATAGATTTGTCATATGTATTGAAGATTACCACAAACTGATTCAACGACAATCTGACTCAGCTCATTTGGTAAATCTGGTGCCAATTGACACACCAGTTGATATATACTCGTCTATCATTCACTCCAATTTGATTACTGTAGGAGTCTGTAAATAGTTTCTGTTCAACTAAAAATAGTCTCGAATATAATGAAGCATGTGGTATAGAATTCAATACAACTGAAATTGAATTCAATACAATTGAAAAAAATTGTAAATAATAATTTCTTATCAAGTTTTCGTTCGTAGGGACTCGACTACCAGTCTACCATGAATCACCCTAATTTGGATGACTGACAGGCCTCTGTGCAGCCTTAAACAAAGTTCACTCACTCAATTCTAACGTATCTCTTTCGGATTAGAAGGCTTCACACTGGATCAATAAGGGATCACTCACACCAGACCTCAAGGAAGAACAATTCAGAACTGATAGAGTAATCCAGTATAAGTTTTTTAGTTAATTGGTTTAGATCATAAGTAATTTTACTTGTCTCGAAACGTATTAATTTTGTATAATGACTGTACAGAACTAATTTCGTATTAATGAAGTGACTTAATGACGTCACGTGAGAGCACTCGAGCTTGCTTAAAATAGACCAGGATCATTGTTTTCCAACTTTTCCCATGTGAAACGAAATGAAATTAGAATTCATGTACTCGTAGTGTCAACAATGCCTCACTAAATATGTCAACGTTAACGGTATGAGATGTTTGCTTAGGTTAAACGTTTCACTGATCGACCATAGCATTCCGAAATATCGTTACGAAAAGCAGAATTGTAGAATTGAAGAAAGTTGTTTTGTGGTTATCTGATTCGTATCTTAATTGT